ACCCTTAGGATATGGAGAAGAAAAGTCAGAATTTAACCATGTTTGGCCAGTTTTGGTTTACCTTGGTTCCTAAACATCAGCTGTTGTTTGTTGTTACTTCTGTTTTGTTTTGTTTCTTTCTGTAAGAACAGCTTATTAATTTACTGTCTGATTCTGTGGGATTTTTGTGTTCAGCAAAACCTCATCAGTTTATCCTGTGTGCTCCTGGAATCAGTCAGCTTGCCTGTGAGGTTTGGCCTCTGTAGGCAGTGCTGTTACTTAGTCCATTCTTAGTCTGTTTTTTTACCAGAAAGCTTCACTCTTACTGTATATCACAAGAGTGGGCTTACCCCTAAAGCTCAAGGATTTACTCAGTGTTTCACATCCTGAAGGAGGTAAGGAGAATTCACTTGCTGGTAGCTCTGTTCAGAAGGAGGAAATGTGTCCACCAGAACTAACCATCAGTTTTGAGGAGTTTGGAACAGTGGCTCAGTGAAGACATGGCAGTGCCAGCTGCTTTTGTTCAGCTCTGGTCTGGTACAGCTGGTTCACAGCTATGTTGCAGGAGCACTTAACACAAGGCAAAATCCAGGAGGTTGTTAGGCACAAATACCTGACCTGTTTTGGGCAGCCCTGTGGTCTCCTGACCACAGCATGCAGGAATCTGAATGAATTCCTGCTCTCCTTTGCCTTGTTTTACTGCTCTGCTGCCAGCTGAGGCTGATAAAGGTCTCCAGTCTGCTCCTGTACCATCATTTTTATAAAACCCATCCCATGGTATCACTTCTAATGACCACAGAGTGTTTCCAGATGTTTTTTTCCAGATGCTTAACTCTCCAAACTGAACCAGCCCCATGGAGTGTGAGGTGACAGACAGTGTGTGCAGAGCTGGGTGTGTGCATTGCTGTGTCTGTGCACGCTGACACATTAACCCAGCCTTGAGGTTCACTGGCCTCTTCTTCTGTTTCAGTTGAATCACTGAGAAAGAGTTGGTTAAGAACAAAGCAAACTCTGTGTGATGCTCAGAGTGCAGTGAGGTTTAGAAATCCATCTTCAGAAATGTTTCATGCAGAAAGTGTTCTAGAAACTGTATGTATGGTGAAAGGGGCTGGCTGATCTTGTGCCCTTTTAAAAATGCATGATAATTTTCTAAAAATTGTCAACTCACCTTAAGTATATTGTGCAGTTAATGGCCTGGTGCTGTCTGCTGACTCTCGGCTCCTGGCTTATGTAGCAGTTGATTTTTAGCATTTAAATGTCTTGCACTTTTGTGGGATTGATCTTTTTGCCTATTAAGCTAGTCTTCAAACAGGATTGTTAATAAAAAATTCTTTCAATCTCCTGCTACTATAGTAACAGTCCCTTGTAAATGCTAACATTGAGCTTCAGTGAAGAAGTAACCTTAGTCAGCAAAACTCTAAAAATATCCTTTTTGAAAGGACAGACCACACCTTATCTTTGATGGGAACTTAATACATTCTCTCTGAATTATTTACCTCTGTCAAAGCAAAATTAAATCTTTGGAGGTGAAATTCTGTGCTAACTTCAGACTCTTTCAATTTCCTCCTTCTACTCTCTGAAAAACACGTATGGTATGTGACTTGTATTGTTTTTAATATCTCATGAAAGCTATCTCTAGTGTAACCAAGAAGTGATCACTTCAGATGATAGAATCACATCTGCCCTGAGATGCATTTCTGGTTTAATATCTGGATCTTCTCTCCAATAGTACAGTTCCTGTCACACTTCTGTGCTCCTGTGTCAAGATCTGATATTTTTTTATTATTAATCCCTAATGGTACAGGCACACATCTCTTAAGCCAAGCTAAAAAATACCCAGCTACAGTGACTGAACAACAAATCCCATTGTGAGCAACTTTCATATTTAATGCATCTCTGAAGGTCAGGAGGAACAGCTGCCTGTTGTCCTGCTGTTCCTTCTCTCTGAGCAAGCTTACCTTAGTTTTGAACCCTGCTTGTTACCTTGGCAATCCTACTGAAACAGGGGGGTCTGGAAATTCACTGGAACCTTGACTATTTCTATCTTAAACTTATAAAGTCCTTCCCTTAATAGAGATGACATACAGAGGGTGAAGGGACTTTAGTGTTAAGCATGGTTAGGAGAGGAATTTGTCTGTAAAACATGCTGTGTGTACTGCAGCAGTGCTGGGCAGCCTCACATCAGACACTGTACAAAGGTGTAGGAGTTTCTCAAAGCATAAAGAAACAGCAAAGGGGAGAAGAAATGTATATGAGTGGATTATGATTTTATTGACATGTACCTTTGATGTGGTAAAGGTGATGTAAAAGGTAGAAGGGGAAAAAATCTTCCCCCCCACCTTTTCTGCAGGCTCACAGAGCATTGCACAGCTCTCAAACTTTTCTGAAATGAGTAAAAGTCCCAAAGAAGCCAGAGCTTCTAACACAAAAGCAGGGCCAGTGCTGTAATGTTTGATACTGGCTCTTGTGTGGGTGGCTCTCTGAACCAGTTGCACTCAGTGCCTTCAGTCATTGTTCAGGAGCTTTGTGAAACCTCTGAACTGCAGCTCCAGAATGAGTAATGGGAGCTTGCTGGGAGCAGAAGTATTTGTTGTTATTTATAATCTGTGGCTTTAATGTTTGTTGCTGCTGAATCTGGGTGTTCCTGCTGTCCTGAATGCAGATAGCCTACCATGAACTTAGTCCTGGTTAAACTGAGGTATTTCTGTTAAAGAAAGCAGAAAAATACTCTTAAATACTTCTCCCTCAAAATCTGGGCCTCTTTAATTGATGTTACCAAGAAACAAATCATGTCTTCTCCTGCTTAGTCTTTAAATGTGGGTTTTATTTGTGATATCTATTGTAATCTGCAGCAGTGACCTCTCATAATACAGTCCATAAAATGTTCATAGTTTTGAGTGTAATTCTAGAAATCTCACAGTTGTCTGTAGCATCTCTGAGGGACTGAACAAACATGGCATATTCAGTTTATACTGGGGACACCTGGATAAAAAACTTGATGCTGCATCTTAAAATTGCTGAAGAGGAATAACATTTGCCATACATTGAATGTCAGTAGAAGTACTCACCTCTTGCTGGTCTCTCTTCCATCTGAACATCACCTTGACAATCACAGGATGGAATCTGAAGTCAGTGGGAATTTTCTGTGAATTTCAGTGGTGTCAAGATCCTCTGATAGACCTGCCTTCTAAAAATTAATATGTATTTGTTGAAGTGTAGGATTTCGGAGGAGTCAGGATTTTTCACTGATAATGTAGGCTTCCAAAAGTTGCATCTATTTTCTTGTGTGGATGTGTTTGTGTGTGGCTTTTCAGCACCACGGGGTTTGTTGTAGATGGAGCTGCTGCTGTTTTCCTGTTTAGCTTTGTGCAGCAGCCAAAGGTACAGCAGCTGCCTCAGTGCTCCTGTGCCTGCCTGTCCTGAGGGTTTCAAAACCAGGACCATGAGCATCTCTGGCCATCACTTAAAGCCCATTATCCTGAGGATGCATTGTATCATTGACAGCTAAAGTTCTTAATAGAAAAAAAGGAAGAAGGTTCTTTTTGTGTAGAAGTAAAGCTAAATTTGATCATTAGACCTAATGATAAGAAGGGCTATGAGATGTTTTTGCTGTGGGTTGTGGCTGTGCTGCCAAGGCTGGCTGGGCTGCAGCCTGGCTGCGTTGTGTGGGAGCTGTCCCACAGGACACGCTGGTGCTGCGGCACAGGCAGGCACCTCTGGTAATGTCATCGCCTCTCCTGGGAGGAGGGATCAGCGGGATGGAATTGTTGCTCGCTATTGGCAGATGTTATCTCACTGCTATGAAACACTAATCAGCTTACCAGAAGGCTCTGGTTTCTCAGCCCTCAGCCCACAGCTGTGGGGAGCAAGGAGAAGTAATCCGATTGAATTGGAAATGCAGGCTTGGCTTTGCTTCTCGTGTCGCCTCTTGTGCCATAATAAAGGGAGAAGCACTTGGGAAGCAGGAGCATCTCATTTAATTTGTGCAGTGTCAGGGGAGTGGTGTCCATTTCCCAGCTGGCTGCATTTGGCACCTCAGAGCCAGCTGTTTTGAGGGATGTGTCACTGCTGGCCACGGGTCACAGGCAGTGCAAGGATGGACTGTTAGCAAGCAAGGCAATTTCTCATTGCAAAGGGTGCTTTCATGTATTGCAGCCAGAAATGAGCTAGGTTCTATGTTTTGCCTACCCCTGCTCATGCTGTTAGTGCACTAAGATGACTTTTGTGTTTGTGTCCTTGAGAATCAAAGAAAAACTTCTGCCAGAGTGTTTTGGGAGATGACGACAATTCAGAGGTTTTGCAGAACTGGGCATTGGGAAAGCTTAAAAAACTGGGGACTTTTCCTCTAGTGAGTGCTGGTGCATATGTCTGTTTCAGTAAGTGTCTTCCAAATGTACAAGTACTGTTTCTTCGTGGCTGAGTGAAATAAAAGCTTTTGATGCTTTAAAACACAATTTGTAATGCTTTGATGCAAAAATGGCACCAAGTTCTGCTCATGGGTCTTTCACCAGGAGCAGGTGGCATAGAGCTGCTTCAGTAGCACGAGTTAACTGCAGCAGTGCTAGGAAATGAATGGGGTTCTGTTTCCCTCATGTGATCCCATAAATAGAATTCTTGTTTAACACCAAATAAAGGTAAAAGTACTTGAGCTGTGCCAGTTGGTATCTCAGTCAGTGGGATTTTATTACTGTTAATGATGTGCCATAATGGAAAACACAAACTGAATTTGTAGGACAAGGATATATGCAGGATCCTTGCTTCCAACTGTCCATAGACATCTGGTTTGGAGGCACAAGAGATGGGGTACAGAACCTTTCTATGCTGAATTTTAGTCATCTTTTTGATCAAAACCAATGTTTTAAAAGATGCCCATAAAGCAGTAGACGTGTTTCAGGACATAAAGATATGCCCTTCATTAACTTGTGTGGGATTTTTTTTTACCATTTATTTTCCATTCCTTTTCAGGTGTTTTAAGCAGCAGATTTAACCCCATGCCACATTGTTCTCTGTTTCCAGACATGAATAAAGCGAGCAGCCCCACGTAACACACCCATGGCATCTGTGCTGCGTCGGGATCCATAGGTCACGAAGGTGTGATGCCCAGGAATCTCCTGGTGGATCCTCCTGAAATGGCATCTGAAACCTCTCCAGAGCACACTCATGGGAGCATGGAAAGGGCTGGCACTGTGGAGAACCATGGCAGCCAAGCTAGGTGCAGGAATCTTGCCTTGGTAAGTGTTTAATGAGCCTTGTGCTTAGTGATACAGATTACATTAATAGCTCTGCCCCACATCACACCATTTTTGTGTTATTAAGATTGATTTCTGCCATTTCTAATCCTAAGTGGTTGCTGGTGTTGTCTCGGTTGTTAAACTCAAAGGGCAGAAATAACTTCTGAGCTTTGGTACAACAGCTTGTTATTCTGGTCTGATTGTCTCTGAGTGCTTCTCTCCAGCCCTTCCTCCCAGAGAGCCAGGAATGGCAGTAAGGGCTGCTCTGCCCTTGCTTTCTTAAACAGCTCATAAAGAAACTTAAGGGTAGTGGTGGTTCTGCACACTGCCTTTGCTTAATCTCTTTGTTGACACTCCTGAATAAAGGTCTCAGCTTATTCCACCTTAATTAGATGAGTAACAAATATGTCACCATAAACAAAGCTGTGCTTGCATTAGTGAGTATGAGTGTGTGGCCATTTCAATCGTTAGTGAGTAACTGAGGGAGTAGGATGCACTTCTGCATTCTTCCCAATTAGCAGGGTGAATCAGGAGTGAACTCAACAGTACACTGTGTACTGACAGGCTAAGCCTAGAAAGTGCAGGTATGGTTCCTTCCATATTTTTTTTATCATCCCAACCATTTGAAAAACATCCATTTTTCATTGAGGGAAGAGCACACTGGTAAACGTGCTTGCTTGGAAATTTGAATATCTGTCTTGTCTTAAATATGGAATTAGGCTTTTTGTCTCCTTCCCTTTGCCCTCCCAGATAATTTCCTTTTAATATGGTAGTTTTCTGTGAGAAAGTGGCAAAACCTGTATTTATCTGTGTACCTCAGACACACTCGTGGTTTTGTGCTATTTTGTGAGCTTTTTGGCACCTGGAGGCAATTCAAATGCAGGTCCTTTTTTTTGTTGTTTCTACTGAAAATACTTACTGTTAATATGACACTGTATCCTTCAGCTTGTGTTGCTAGTTAAAACACAAAACAAGTATGACAAAAGTTAGTTCCTGAACTGTTTCTGATCTGTTCTAGAAAAAGTTGTGAAGGTTCAGGGTGGGAGAGGTTAAGTACATCATTTGGACTCAGGAAGTTAGTGTATGTTGTTTGTTTTATAGAAGCTGGTTGAATTTTAGAGAATTACAGTGGAAGTAGTACTTTGCTGGAGAATTACAACTTTATTTTACACAGAATTGTAAGTTAATTTTGCTTATTACTCTACCACTAGTTTCCAGGTTAAGAGGTAATAGTCAATCATATTTCCTTGGGTTTTATTCTTAGCAGGCATGAAACTAGACATTTGAAAAAACCAGTATTAAATAACAAAGCCATGTATAAATCAGTCTGTACAGTCTCATTCCAGGTCTGCTGTGTCAGAAAATGCCATCAATTCCCTTAGTCCAAGATCCTAGATCCTGCCATGTGATAACCCATGTGATGATGCATCAGCTAGATTTGGAATCCCTTCCTACTCTGTAATGCAGTCATTTATAGATGGAGTAAAAGTTAGCTGTAGGCTTAGGCAATTCCCATCAGACCTGGGAATTAGCAGTTCACAGAGCCTTTCATTTGTCTTCAGTTTGTGCATGAAGACAGTGAATTGTGTACCAACAAATTTGATTGGGATGCCACAGATCCCCTTTATGATTTTATTTCCAGCAGTGTAGGAGGTGGCATGTCCAATAAAGCTGGCAACTGGCATGTGTGGAGTAACAGGCTGGACAATATGACCTCTTAAATGCAGGCATAATTTCAGTTTCTGAATTTGAGAAGGGATCTGTGTTAAACTGAACATGAAGGAAATTCTGCCTAATTGCTGGAACATACTCCTAGAGAAATTATCCTCTTGCTTCAGTAGTTTTGTTATGAAAGTTTAGATGATGCAGAAGCTTTGATGGCCTAATGAGAAGAAGGGGGTGGACAACTTTGTGTAGACAAAGAATTTCTATTATGCCAGTTCTGAGAAAGGTGGAGATGTATTTTGAGACACACTGGACCTTCACTAAACCCTGGAACACGATCAACTAAAGACCTGACTGCCTCTTCATTTATCACTGTCCTGGGCCTGTTCTCCTAGAGACATGGCAAGAAAGGTCAGGGTTGGCTTTGATATTTTGGGTTTTTGTAATGGCATTGCAAAGGCAAGAAGTGTGACAGTGCTTCTTGTGACAGGCCCATAGTGCTGCAGGTTTCTTCCTACTTGATTGTAAAAATACCAGGCCCTTAAGCTTCTCAGTGTCAGACTGCAATAGTTACTAAATATAACCTTTGTATTGCATCTGTGGAATTCAAACAAACCCAGGGATGTGATAATGGGGACAAACACTTGGACTGGCTTTAGCCTTTGCTGACTGCTCACAGCTGGTTTGGCTGACTCCTGGCTGGTCCTGCATCCTGTGTGTCTGTGCTGGCACTGCTTGCTGGGAACTGGTTGTCAGTTTAGGCATGACCAGGAGATGGACATCAATTGCCATGTGCTGAAAAGCTCTTAAAATTCTGTATGTGGGATCCCTCCCAGTCAGCTGTTGTCACTTCAGTTTAATTTTGCCAGGTATCTCAGCTTCTCTTACCTATATAGTGATGCTTTCAGTTATCTTTGACAACTGCCTCTAAGCCAAATTTTTTTTAATGGAAAGCAAGTGATTTCATGAGTATTTCCATCGAAATTACAGATGGGCTTACTCTGCCAAATCTGTCACAGCAGGTTGAGTTGAGATGGGAGAAATGTATGCCTTGATATCTTCATCTCACATGAATGTTAGTAGACATAAAAACTGTTATGTATGAGGACTAATTTGCACACATATTTTGGTTTCTTTGTTAAAAGATGTATCCATACATCTGCTTGACAGAAGTGTATTCTCCCAATGCATGGAATAAGTTGCACTAACCCAAGGGTGAGGGCAAACAAAAACACTCCAAAAACACTCTGTTCTTGGCAATTCAGCTTCCAAAACCCAGTCTGTAATGACACTGCCAGACACGTGTATAGGAATTAACTTGCCATGAAATACAGTTGTAGCAATTTAAGGACACTTAATTCAAAGCTAAAACTAGGTCTTGGGGTTTTTTGGAAGCAATTTGCCTTGTTGCATTGACTGAATAGGCACAGACCAGCTTCTTAAAGCCAATCCTTCTCCCAGTGCTTGTCTCTGGTAATTGGGCTGGGTATCTGTTCTCAGCCATGAGTAACTGCTTTGGTTTCTAAGTGTGAGTGATGTGCTGGGACAGTTGTGCTGCCTGTGAGAGCCATGGCAGAGGTGCTGTACCTGAAGTGAGCTGTGCTCATTGGAACTGCACTAATAATGTGCACTAAGCTGTGCCAGTGCCTCAGATCTGTTGCTACAACTTCAGTACTTTACCTTCTGTATCTGAGCATGTTTTACTGAGTGGTGGCTTCGAGGGATAGTGAGTTCTTGTTATTCTTGGTGGTTCACAGTGTTTTGTATTTTATTTTTTTGCCTTTGGATCAGACAGATCCTTGGTTAATGCCACAGTTCACCTCCACTCTTTTTGGGGCAGTGGTGACCTCCAGAATTTGTTCAAGTGACTGTTTCATTTGATCACTAATCAAATGGCTTAAACTGGGAGAGGCCATGACTCTGAAGAGATTTTGCTTGTTCTGATTGTTATTTCTTCAAACAAGCTTCCTCTCTGGCTCTAGCAAGACTTCAGAGCCAGTCACTGGAGATGGTTTGTCACCCCTGGATCCCTTGTGTGGTACAGGTGACATTCTGAGCATAGACATGAGGAGCAGCTGTGCTGTGAGTAGTCTGAGCTGGCTCAGTGTTTTGTTTCACACCCTCAGCCATTTAACTCAGGGGTGACCTGGTTGTTTTGTAGTTATGGTGTCTCTTGTAGCCTAAAAATTTGTTGTTATGATCTTTATCCTTTTTGGATCAGTGCAGGTAATTCAGATGCAGCAGACCTGGTATTCTGGTGTGCCATGTTGGTATCTCTTTGCCTCAGCCTCCCTGAAGAGAATCCACTGGGAATCCAGTGTGGATTTAGGGGTTCTGGAAAAGGACAGGTCATATCTGTTAGCCCTCTGCCACCTTTTTTCCTCACAATTTCAGTGAGTCTTGTGATGCTGAGCTGCACTTCAGGTACATTCAAGGGAATGTCCTGAGAAAAACTCCTGTTGTATAATTGGTTTTTTCCCCCTTGACACTGATACTCCACAGGATTTACTGTGCTACATGACCTTTCACCGTGTCCAAGGGCTTTGCCAAATAACAATACACAAAAAATGAGAAGAATTTTTGACTGTTTGCTTTGTGTGGCTGCGGCTGCCTTGGGGCAGGTGGAGGCCATTCCTGACAGGGTGTGGAGGGAGCTGTGCTGTGCTTCAGCCACTTGGAGCTGGTGTTAGTGTGAGCTGGAATAGCGTGCCTTGGGAAAATAGGAGCCTGACTCCTAGCAAGGAATGATCTTGCTGTAAAATGTGCAGGGAGAATACAGATCCTGAAGGCAGTTTGGGCTCTGTGCACAAACTGTATCATTGTGCTTCAAAGCAGGATCTGGTAGATAGAGATTATTGTAGCAGGTGGGCAAATCTGCTTTTTAAACCTTGCTGATAGACATTCCTAGACTTCCAGAGTGTTTTCTTTGTATATTCCACTACTTTTCACTGAATACTTGCATTAAAGTTTCTGTAATGTCAAAGTTAACTTTTGCTTGTCTCACCTTCAGTGAATGCAGAGAAGATTTGTTGCAATTATATGGGTGGTCAACTTTTTATATCTTAAAATACCCTCAGGGACACAGGGCTGCATCTGCCCACCCCATTCATTCTCTCCTGTTGAAATGTAACATGCTCCATTATTTGAGCCTTCCTGTGCAGCCAGGCTCCCAGCACTCCGTGCTTTGTTCTGGACTCTGTCCAGCTTGGCTGCATCCTTTCCAAAGTTCAGCAACTGAATCTGAACTCTGTGTTCCGAATGAGGATGTGCTGTCATGTCATCACCCTGGTTAATATATCCCAGAATGAGATCTGCATCCCTCAACAGCAGGGTTTTTTTCCCTCTTTATGGCACTTAAACTGACAAACTCACAGATTGCACAGGTGCCTTGCAGTAACTTCATCTCAGCATCGTTTTTTTTGTTCATCTGTGGGTTCATTGTTGGGGGCCGTGTCATAAAGGTTTCAAATCAAGGTTTGTGACATCTTGTGCTTGTATCTATTGGTCAGGTCAAGAACCCTCTCTTGAGAAATGAGCTTGGTGTGAAATTACTTGATTTTTTGAATAAAACTTTAGTGGCTTTTGCCTGAAATGTCTCCCCATTTTTCTCAATGTTGTTCTAACAATTTCTTTTCCCCTTTAATTTCTATAGGCTGATCAGCCTAATTTTGTTTATCAAAGGGTTATCTTCAGAGTTGAAGTAGATATTCAGCTTGCTTTCTTTAAAAGTAGGTTAGGAGTTATTTAGTCAGTTTATGACTTTAGCTCATCTAATTTATCTTTTAAGTACTTGTGGATAATTTGTTTCCTCACTTAGGACCTATTGATTATATGCTTTGCTGCCTCTCATGAAGCACACAGTACAATTATCCTCATAAACTGAAGAAAACAACACTCAATATTATAGTCTTCTTCACCAAATGGAATGGTATTATCAAAACCATCAGATAGTGGGTTGTAGAGGAAGCACTTTTTGACACAGCACACAATTACACTCTGGAACTCCCTGCCACAGAATGCTGTGCATGCCAGTCATTTCCATGGCTCAAACAATAACACAAATTCATGCTAGAAAAGCTCATTAAGGGCTATTAAATACACAGATGCCAATGCATCTGGGAAATCTTTGAGCCTTGTGTTGCTGGAAACTGGAAGGATTTAGGGGAAGAAAAAATATACCCATAAAACATAGAGCAACACCTCCCACAACCTCCTGTGTGTTCACAGCTGCTGGAGGCTGCTGAGCTGAATGGGATTTTGGTGTGATCCTGTGTGGTAGTTCATGTTCTCAGCTGTAACTCTCATGCTTCCAGCTTCAGTAACAGCAGTACAACCCATTCCATTTCCCTTTCCTGGAAATCCAGTCACAGGCACTTGACTTCTTCTGTGCTAAAGCTTTTTTGTGTGTTCTGGTACAGCCCCTGCACGCAGGGCTTTCCTTTTCCCCCTTCTGACAAGCAGAGCTGCCTCGTTACTCACAGGCTGTGGCCCAGGTGGTGCTGCAAGGCCAAACCAGAATGGTTTGCTCCCTTCATGGTTCTTTTGAGAAGCACCCAGTCCCTTCCTTCTCCTGGAATTGTGCCTGTCAATTCTTCAGTGCTGTCAAGTGATTGATAAATCAGTTGAATCTGGCATTCTCCTGGTATTTTGCTGTTTGAAATGTGGTTCCTTAGCAGGTGTTAAAGATTTTTTTTTAAGCACTGCAGATGTCTTGGGATTTCCTGTGGTTTTCTGTTTCTGTCAAAGCTGTGCTGGTCTTAGGATTTTAGATCTGGATGTGATGTTCAGGATTTCTTCAGATGTGCATGAAAAATTGTGGGCCTCTGGATATTAAGTCAGGTAGGAAAGGAATCAATGAATCTTTTCTATGAAATAGATTCTATTCCTCTTTTCTTTCTGTTATTTCTTTATTTTTCCTCTTTTATACCAAACAGTGTTTTAACAGACTCTTTCCTGTTTGGCATAAGCAGGAAATGTTTGGCTGCAGAGAGATCTAAAATATTAATGCCAGCTGAGCATACTCAGCTATTTCAGCTGTTTTCATCCCAAATTTCTTCTGTCTGAGCAGTCCTTTTAATCCTCCTAATTTAATGTCATTTAAAGCTGAAGCACAATATTCAAGTTTCAAATTCAGGCTGTCTTTGACAGTAGGTTTAAAGTTTATAGTGGTAGGTGTATGTGAGATTTAGTTTAGGGAGATGTGTTTGTGTATCAAGAGTAGGGAGTAGATGGAAACTGAGGTGAATAACTCAAGTAGCTGAAAAGACTTTTCATCTATTAAAAAGTACAGCTTCATTAAGAAAAAAGGAGCATGGAAAGAATATTAACTGTTCCAGTACTTGGAATATATGGAAAATTGCAAATAGACTGGGTAGCCTTAGTTAAAACTGGCACCTTTAAGTTACAAAAATTCCTCCCATCTTTCTGGAGGCTTTGCTGTAGTACGAGTAGTACAGGTGGGAATAAAGTCACTGCTTGCTTTACATCTCTGAGCTCCTTTGGTTTGACCAGCCTGAGTAGGTTTTTTTTTTCCACTGTGATTTTGTGTCTAAAATGGGATTGTTTCCTTGGCTGGCAAACTGAAACATATCTGGCCTGAGGGAGTTTCTATCCAGACTGGATGCCAGTGCAGTGCCCTCACCTAACACTGCCTGTTCTCCAGAGCTGTTGGCTTTGGTTTTGTTGTTTGTTTTGTTTTGTTTTTTCTGATGAAATGTGACATTGATCATCTTGAAGGGAGACTGCATGGGGAAACAGATTGAAGTGCTAACAGAGATGAAATTGGCCTTTCACATCTTGGTATGCTATTTATTACAAATGTGTTTGCAAAGGGATGGTTACTCAATTTGGATCCTTTACCTAAAGGGACACAGCAAGATCCATGAGAGATGGTTAAATCAGGCAAAACTCTCCTGCAAGTCTCACCTGTCATGGAAAAATGTTCAGTCTTGCAGCTCAGAAAAGGATGCAAGGAAATGCATTGGGAAGTCTTTGCTTCCTTGCTTTATTCTTTGCTCAGCTCTTGATGAAACAAGTTAAACTGATGTGGGAGCAGTTTTTTTAGGTGCACACACTAATTCCTGTACCACACTCTGGATTTGTTGCCTCTATGAACTTCTCAAACACAACTCCCTCTTCTTTTCCTTTGCCTTGGAATTCTGGCTTTTGCAATGGGCTCACCCTCAACAAAGGCTCCTGGAGTCCTGCTCAGCTCCAGCTCAGGGCTCCTTTCCTGTCATTCTCTCGCCTGCTAGACATAGCAGCCCTATGAGTATTTGGGTGGGGAAGGAAGGAGATTGCAACATCCATTAAGGAAAAAAACCACACACACAAAAACCCAAAAAAAAAAAAAAACACCAAAAAAGGAAGGCTTGTCTGTCTCTTGCTTTTCAAGTGCAGCTGTAAAACTTTCCTTGGCCTTTGAAACCTGCGTGTGGTGGGTGCGAGCCGAGGGCTACGTCAGCCTTTGAAGTTCATCTTTTAAACCAGCACTGGCAAATGGCATCCAAATTTCAGCTTTTGTAGCAGTTTTGCTGCGAGTTGGAATAAGTTACTTACTCTGACAGTGCACTGTGGATATTAAGACTAAATTAGAAATAACCACACCTCTGTACATCTTTCCCTCCCACCAAATGTACCATTGGCCACACAGGCTGAGAGCCTCAAACCATTTATTTTCTCATCTGTAACATTCTGAGTGCTTGGAGATCAACTGCCACTGGGTACAATGCAGCACATTGTATTTCCTAATCTATAGGCATTATTTTGGTACAGAGCTATGTCATTCTTATTTTTAGTGCTGAGAATGGGGATAAAAGCTTTGTTTGTGCAAGGAGTTAACAGGTAGAGCTGCACACAGGTTTTTTTAGTCTAATCTAATGTAAGATGATCTGAACAGGCACGGTGAGTTTGAAGCAAGTTGTGCTGCCCTAGCAAGAACGTGCTACCTCTTGAATATTTGTACTGCATACCTTTATGTATTTACCTCAATTCTCCCAGCCCTCCACTGAGAAGGAGCCTTTTTACCCTGTCTGCACGTGCAGTGAGGTGTCCTTGGCACTTCTTGTTGAGTTACTCACAGCAAAGTTTCCAGTATGTGCTTGGCAGGGGAGAAATTCAGTCCAGAAAAGGGAAAACCTCACTTGACTTTCAACAATATATACTTGCATTCCAGAACTTACACAGGGCTCTTGGGAAATGTCTTTCCTGTATCCATTGTCTTAATGCAGTGCCTTTCTTAATCATTCTTTGTCATCTCCAAGCTTCTGGAAAAGTGAGTGTTTCCCAGGGTGGAGGGAAAAGAGAGCATTGCTGCCCAGCTTCACAGAGTGATAATGTGGTAATCAAGTTAATTAATAGCAGTGACTCAGAGAAAATGAAGACTGGATAATCCATGTGATTATTTATCACTTCTGTGGTCTACAGGATTATTTCCTGCTGAAGAAAATAGCCCAAGGCACAGTTCTGCTAGGGACAGGTCTTCATATTTGTTCTTGGGTTTTCCTTTCTGTAACTGAAAGCTAAAATCTTTACAAGTCCTCTCCATCCTTACTGCTGCATCTTTGTAATCTCTTATGTACCTCTGGATAATTTGAAGTTTGTAGTGGCAGAGACATTTCTCAGCTCCAGCTTTGCTTCTAGAAGTTAAGTCACCCTTTGGGATTGAGCAAAAAGGGAATCAACCCATTTCTGGGGCTGTCCTGAGTGCACCTTTCCCTCTCGTGTTGTTCCCCAAGTCCCTCAATCTGACACAGAGCACAACTTGCCCCAGTTTGGAAATCAGAAGAAGCCATCCTAACCCCTGCAAAGGCACAGGTGTGTGTAGGGATTTTTATATTCAATTTTTATTTTTTTAGCAGCTCTCATGACTTTTATGATCTTTCAGTAATTTTCTCTGTGCAACTCAAATGAAGACTCCTTTGCTAAACTAAAGGATGTAATACCAATTGCTGCTGGTTTGGTTTTTAATTTTTTTTTTTTGTCCTCTAGCATTGTAATGTCTAAATGTCTCTTCGGGAAGGTGTCAATCTTTGTTTTTTTCCTTTGTTCCCCATAGGATGATGACAGTTTGAAATACTTAACTCATGAAGAACAGGATGTTCTCATGTTCTTTGAGGAAACCATAGATGCCTTAGAAGATGACTTGGAGGAGATGGCCCTGCGTGACAGTGGCATCCACTGTCAGTCCCCAAGGTCAACAGAGGAAAATGTGTCCAGTCATTCAGAGACTGAAGATATCATTGACTTAGTGCAGTCAACCCCTGAGGGCAGTGACCATGAGGGCCCTTCCAGCAGAGACACAGCACCAGGTAATTGGTTGCTTGTGAGTGTGGGTTTTCCCTTTGATCCAGCCCTGACCTATTCCAGTTCTCTGTAGAAACTGCTTAACAAATTCTGTGCTTTCCTTACTACCTCAAAATAAATTTGTTACTCATAAGGAGCTCTAAAGACTGATTTTAATTTGCCTTGGGGTTTTTGAAATTCTTGCTGCTACTGTAACTTTTTTTTTGTAATTTTTCCTTTTCCCTGATGGTGGTCATGCATCTGGTGAAGTTGTTGGTTTGCTGTCTCAATCCTCTGCCTGGGACTGAGTTGTCACTGTTGTGCACAGTCATTGCAACAAGGCAGACTGCATTCACCAACCTGCTCATGCTCTGCTCTTCCCCAAGACATTTTAAGATTTTTCCCAGGAGTTTTAAGATAGCAGGTTGTTTTCAGTGTTACTCTGTGGCACTGAAAGGCGTACGATCCTATGGGTGAGTTTGTGACAAGGTAGCATATGGCACTTGTTTCTGTCACCCCTCGTGTGTGTGTGCTCTCTGTGTTTGGACAATGAATCTATCAGTGGGACATAATTTGTCCTCTCCTGGCTGTTTTAATAAAAAATAAGAACTGCAAAACTCTCATGGAAGAGCAGCCATTGAAGCACAGTGAAGCAACACAGACTGTGGGTGAAAGGCAGAGAGGGCTGGGATAGTGACACATTGTAAACGTGGTGATTTGAGCTGTGGCATTGCCTAAGAGATGCCATTGCTGGGACTTTTCTCTTAGAGTTTCTTCTGGCTCTGTGGGCTGAGGTTGAGTTAGAAAGGTAGGGAAGGGGAGAAATGCTGAAAGAAGCATTTTAGCTTGCATTCTGCTCTATGTGAAGAGTTAACGACATCTCTGCTGCTTTGCCTTTTAGTGTTGGATGCGCCTGGGAGAGCCGAGAGCCCTCAGCCGGCTGTACCTGCTGACCTTCCTCCACACCCCCCTGCACCGCCCCCAGCGGTGTCCGAGAGCCTTCCTCTTCCTCCTCCACCCCCTGCTCCAGTGCAGCACCCGAAGCTGCTCCGTTCTGTGCCCACTCCTCTCATCGTGGCCCAGCAGATGTCGGAGCAGCAGCAGGGGGAGAGCCGGGCGCGCTTCCCCGACAGGAGGAAAGGCCCGGTGGCCAACGGGGAGCATTGCCCAGCAGCCAAGCACCCTCCTGCCCCCGCCCCCAAGCTGCACCGCTTCCCCAGCAACATCAACATAACAAATGTCAGCGGCAAGGAGTTCAGCGAGACCATTTCCAAGGCGGCGGTGAACGTGCAGGAGCGGCGGGCTCAGGTGCTGGCCAACATCAATGGGGGAGCTCTTCTGGCAGCTGAACTGGAGGAGAGGCTGCACAAAAACGATTTCCTGTCACGGAACAGAAGTTCTTCCCTACGGGATCTCTCCTCTGAGCAAACTCGCTACGAAGCCCTGACCAAACTCGGCCTAGTCAAGGGAAAGCCAGCTCAGGACCAAGTGGACCATGCCCCCAGCACTCAGCAGCCTGATGTGCAGCCCAAGCAGCCAGAGGCTGTTACCAATGGATACCAAAACATCAATGAGATTTTAAAAAGCGAGCCCAGCCCTTTCCTTCCTATGGGCAAAACTGTAACAATCAGACCAGAGGTGGCTCTTGCCACTAACAAAGTCAGCAGCCCACAGCAGAGCACAGAAAAAAGTTGCAGTGATTATAAACAAGCTGGTGTAAGCCTGGACATGAGGAGGAGGTCAGGTTCTCTGCCCAGACCTCCAGGGTTTCGATCCCAAGGGATAACGGTGAAGTTTTCCGGCCGTGGCTCCACTGAAGAAGCCAGGAGAGAGGCACTCAGGAAACTGGGACTGCTGAAAGAGACTGCCTAACGTGGATGGGAATGTTGTGGCAGCAGGGGGAAAGTCATAGCATGGCTTTGTGCTGGAACACTCCCAGCAGGATTGGGATCAAGTGGATTGGAAGAAAAAAGGGAAAGTTCTCTGCTTCAGGCAAGCCAGGAAGGTATTGAACACTGTGGAATGGCCACTTGTGTTTATCCCAGGACTGGCACCACGTAGGGCCATGAACAGCAGTGGGGTTTGGCTCTCCTTCCTACAGAGAAACTCATCTGTTGCTCTTTGTGACTGAGAGGAATTTTATTTAATTAAAATAATTAGCAGGCAGCATCTCGTTAATGAAGTGTACAGTGCAGTATTGTTGTACATAGCAAACTGAACAGCAAATCTTGCTTTTGCTCTTCTTGAAGCCAAAACAAAGAGCTCTGTCTGTCCTGCCCACATGTCTGTCTGTCTGTCCATGGAGCTCGAGATAATGTCACAGCTGAAATTTCTGACAGTGTGATGCCCTTCTGTGACTTTTTGTTGTCTGTCTTAGCTGGCTTGGCTTCTTTCCCTGCCAGTAGTGGAGACTCCTGCTCCCTCCCTCTCCCCTTGACTCAAACTGTGCCCAGGATGGCTCCAGCCCCGGCCTTCTCCTGGCAGAGCAGCCCAGGCTGTGCAGGGGGACTGCTCACTCTGGAGCTGCCCTCCCCTCCCACAGCTGCTTCTGTCACACCTGAGTCACCCACGTGCCCAGAAAGGCACCTGGAGAGCCCCAAGGACATGCACTGACAGCCAAAGATCTCCTGACAATCTGTGACCACAACTGCTCTGTCCCAGGGAGAATCCAACAGCAGGGAAGCCATAGGAACAACTTAACTCTGTACCAAAAGCAGCACCTGTATGTTAAAAGTCTTCTCTTTCATGTTGGGGTTCCTGGGAAGGAGCTGCTGCTTACTGAACAGTAGCTGTACCACACAAATTCTGTTACTGCTAAAACTGTCATTTGGTCTTCCTGTACTTTGACAGCCCTGATAATCCTCTGCTCACAGCCTTATTTCATTCTGCCCTGCCAATGCATAACAGAAATTACAGCCAAAATTCTTGCAGGCTCTGTGGAGTTTCAGGAGAGCTGCACACCTTTCCTGAACGGTCCAAGTTGGTGGTATTTTGCCTTTGTTCAATACACAAGCTGGTAAAGATGGTCCCAAAATATATTTTGTGTGTTAGTATGTTTTGGGTTTTTTTAATGTGGCAAAGCTGCCCTTCCACATTGAAACTCCTTCCCTTTTTTGTATTACCTGAAAACATCAAGAATAGCCACTTTAAAATCAAATGCCAAACTCTCCATTTTTTTGTTGTTGTTATTCCTTCACGTTTGATTTCTCAGTGTTTTGGATTTTTTTCTAAAGGGAAGAACTGACTTAACTCTCTGCACTTTCTGAAGCCTCGACCAAGACATTCCTTCTCCAGAGCAGCTGAGCAATAAACCTTGGAGAAGGAGGGGTGGCTGCAGCAGAAACTGACACACCCTTTGGCGAGGAGCATAACTGTGATAAACAAGTTTGTAGTTCTTGTGATAAAGTATTTCAAACTTGCTGAGCTGTACCTGTAAATGAAGCTGTCGTGAAGGAAAAACCTTTGTGTCATTCTCAACCTGCCTCATAAGTTAAGGGGTTTTTTTGGGGGGTTTTTTTTGTTGTTTTTTTTTTTAAATTATCTGCTTGCTGCTTAAATTTTTATTTGTGTTGCTCCGGTATCTGGCTGGTTCTGTTATGTAGTTCCTCTTTTCAGCGTTTTCACTGGGTAAGTGATCATGTTGCTCATTGTGACAGGCTTGCTATACATAAGCAATCAGTAATTAAAATATGTGGCCGTTCCTGGGCTGGCAGAGCACTTGGGCATGCCTAATCCAACGTGAGAGGTGCTGCTGAAGCCAGAAAAGGCTGCTTGTGTGCTGCAGGTAAAGCCCAGGCTTGTTCTGCTGGGCCCTGAGTCTGCAGCCCCAAATCAGAAACACTGGGAGCACAGAAAATACACCCAGGCACGTGCTGCACTGCAGGCTGGAATGCAGGCTGACATGTGGATGATGCATCATAATTTATTAACCTGATAAGTAAATTTAAATATTTCATGGCCTTTGTGCTTTTGAATCCTGGTGAAGCAAATTCTTCATTAGGAATGTGAAGTGCGTCTGAAGCAATCTCCACATCTAATCATTGCTGCCAGCTCCTCTGGAGCTGTTTACAGCTGAGAGTCCTTGCTAAGCAAACGAGGGGGAAAAAACCCTGACCCTGTTTCATTGAAATTCAGTCTAGTTCAAGAACTCTGTAATGTCACTCTACTTCAAAATACCCCAGATAGTTAATATCTCAAGTTGCTGGATGCTGAATTAGCTGGATCGTGTTCTCTCATCCTTTGTGCAGGGCTGTGTCCTCAACTGGTGGGAAGTGAGAGTCAGATCTGCATTAGGGAAAGCAGATTCTGCCCAGGGAGGACTTGGAACGAGGTATTCATTGTGGCCCTTCATCATAGCAGATAAATTCTTCTCTGTGCCTAAAACTGTAGTGAGTAAAGCCATGTACTAAATGAAGTTAAGTCTAGCTGCTAATAACCTGTATATAAATTCAGCTCTATTTTGTGTATCTTGTCTTGTGTGTATATGTTGCTGTGATTTTGCTTTCTTTCCCTTTGTGCTAGAGGTAACTGTCTTGCACAAATCTGATAAATCATCTGTTAAACTAGAATAAACCCAATGAAATGATGGCTGATGGGAGGTGCCATTGTGTTCTTTGCCACCCAGCAGCATGACTCCTTTTGGAGGAGGGAGGTGACTTTTTCTTAATGGCTAATACTGATTTAATAACCTTTCATTTTGCAACTGTGGATGTGTGTGAGCCAGAGCCCAGCCCTGTCATGGCAGGTGCTGCAGGAGGGACAGAAAAAAAAGGCTGTGTCTGATAAGAGCAGTGTATTCTCACTGCTGTGATCAGTGTCCTTGCCAGAATGAAGTTCATCCTGAACAGTGTTTGAATTAGACAAAAGCCTCTCTCTCACAACGTTTTGCATTATTAAAATGACCTTTCCAAGAGGAAAATTTTATATGTGAAAGAAGAATCACATCTTTGTTTCCGAGGCTGTTACCATAAGTGAGTGTAGTCCTGCTGAGTGTGGAAATCTTCCTTGTTGCACAGGTCAAAGTTCCCTGTCAGAGAACATCCCTGCCCATCCCTTCCACATCTGTTTGCTGCTTTTCTGTCTTTTGAAGGAGGATTTCTATGTAAGTCTTCAGGTGTTGTTGAGCATTTGTCCAAACATTGTGTGTCATAAAAGGGAGACTAGAAATCACTCTAGAAAAAAGAAATACTTCCATTTGCTTGAGCTGCTTTTTCATCCCTGAGGCTGGCTGTGGTGGCAGCCAGAAAGCAGCAGCAGGTGCAGCAGCCTTGTCTCCAAGCTCTGCAGGGCTGCCTCAGGGCTCAGTGCATGGCTCAGCCATGGCAGGGCAGGTGGCCTTTTGTAATTGTGTCCAGCTCCAGCCTGGAGCCAGGGGCAGAGAATTTAACTTGGCTGGATCTGTCATGAAACCTAAAGGAGGTTCCAGTGCCTCACCCGTGCTGGAGGTGAAGCCTCACAGCTGCCCCAGCACCTGCAGCCTTTCAGGTGCCTGCAGCCTGGGGAAGAAGCTTTTGATGTTTTGACTCCTGTTTTATACACACGCACATGGAATTCAGTTTCTCCCTTTAGAACAGACAGCTTCAGAAAGTGTTATCCACAGAGGGATCAGGGCAGGGAGGAGGCTGAGGGGAGGTGATGGTTTAACCCAGCAGCAGCTTGGGCAGGTTTGCAGTCTTGTTTGAACTTAGAGCTCTGCTGCGCAAGCTCAGTGTTGTGTAGCTGAACCCACCACAGTAAAAATCACAGCCCTCCCTTAGCTGGTCCCTGTCCTTGGCCCAGGGGGAGCCAGGGAAGCACAGCTGAGGCCCAGCAGCCCCTGCTGCAGTGGGATTGCTCTGGAGGCAGCTGCAAAGGGAGGGCCTTGGAGCAGAGGCAGCCCTGGGCCAGCTCAGGGCCATCCCAGGCACCCCCAGCTGCCTTTCCATGGCCACTTCTCCAGCCACTCATCCCCCAGCCTGGAGGGATCCCTGGGCTTGTGTGACCCAAGGGCAGGGCCTGGCACTTGGTGGTGTTGAACCTCATTCCCCCATGGATCCAGCCTGTCCCAGTCCCTGTGCAGAGCCTTCCTGCCCTCCTGCTGACCAACACTCCAACACCATGGCCCCAGCAGAGTCCTTGATGCCCCTGTGCAGTCCATCAGTAATGATGTCAAGCAGGGCTGGCCCCAGCACTGAGCCCTGGGGACACCACAGTGACCAGAAGCCACCTGGGTGCAGCAGCATCCCCACCCCTCCCTGGGCCCTGCCCAGCCAGGATTAACCCAGCCCTGGGCTGGCAGCTTTTCCAGGAGAGGGATGTGGGAGAGGGTGGCAAAGGCTTTGCTGGAGTGCAGGGAGCCACGTCCCCAGCCTTGCCCTGATCCCCAGGTGGCCACAGGAGCTCAGGGTGGTCAGGCAGCCCCTGCCCTTCACAAGGCCCTGCAGGCTGGGCCTGATCCTGTGCCTGTCCTGCATGTGCTGTGTGTGGCCTCTGCTCTGTGCCCTTCCCTGGCACTGAGGTCAGGCTCTCCAGCCTCGACTTCCATGGATTTTGCTCCCAGCTCTCCTTGTAGAGGGGTGTCACATTTGCCAATTTACAGCCCAGACCTTGCCAGGACTGGGGTGTAGAGGATGATGGAAGGGGGCTTGGGGAGAATTCACTGGCTCCCACACCAACAGTGGGTGCTGGATCCCCCCTGCCCATGGACTGCTATGTGTCCAAGTGCTGTAGCAGCTCACTGACCATTTCCACTTGGATTGAGCTTTTCCTTCTGCTCCCCATCCCCGTCTCAGGAGCTGTGTACCCAGAGAACAACTGGCCTTGCCATTATTCGCTGAGGCAAAGAGGGCAGGAAGTGCCTCAGCCTTCTCCTCATCTTTTGTCACTGTGCTTCCTCCTGCATCCTTCTCAGCCATCCTGTTGTTGCTGATGTATTTATAGACACGTTTTTGGGGGGGCTTTTACAGCAGTAGCCAGATAAAATTCCAGTTAAGCTTTAGCCCTGCATAACCCTGATACCCTTGGATTCCTTCTGAGTTACCTGCCCCTTCTTCCAAAGGTCACATGCTCCTTTTCCCCCCTGAGCTCCAGCCAAAGCTCCTGTTCAGCCAGGCTGTTCTCCTTCCTTGCTGGCACTTTTTCCAGCAGCTGGGATCATCTGCTCCTGTGCTTTTCAAATTTCCTTCTTGGAAGCACATCCAGCCTTCCTGAACTCCTTTGCCTTCCATGTTGCCTCTCAACCTTTTCAATGAGAGGAGGCTTTAATTCATCAGCCCTCTTCCCCCTCTCTTGCTTTCAGATAATTCCTGCATCCCATAGAGGCAAAGGAGACAAGCCTTCATCCCAGTGCTGATTTCCAAACTATAAATATCTTTTCCTCTGCAATAAGGAGGGTCCTTAGACTGGATGGAGCCAAACCTTCCACGGGAACACACCCTTGTCTTGTGTGTTTTGTTTTTATTTGGTTTTTCTTCTTCCCCAGAACGGGGCTTCTCTTCCCATGTTAGGGGACTCCTCCCAGATGAGGAAATGCCTTCCCTGAAGAGTCCTCAGTGCATCCCTGACTACATCACCAAATGTTCAGATGTGTTCTTACCTCAAGGGAGCTGCCAGGAAAGATTATTTTCCACTGGGCCATAATTACCTGCTGCTGCTTCCAACTGGCCAAAAAAAGAACAGCAGGAGAGGCTTCAGTAACTTTGGGATTAAACTGAGCAGGCACAAGGAGTGGTAGATAAACCAGCTGGCAGGCTTGAGGGAGCGACTCAGCTTCATTTTCTCCTTTGTTCATGGGTCTTTGCACCTGCCCCTGAGCTTTAATGAATGTTTCACAGAGCCCCAGGAACCACAAACTAATTCTGAGCAGCTCCCAAAGCTGCTGAGGCACTCTTACCCAGGACTATTATTTTCTTCTCAGAGGGGTGTCTCTGAATCATAAAGAAATGCAGCTGCTCCAGTATCCTCACCTGAAGGGCAAAGTTTCAAAGTTTTTTGGGGTTGGGAGAAATTTCCCCCAAAAATAAAAAAAAAAAAAAACCCCCAAAAAAAACCCAAAAAAAACAAAAAAAAACAAAAAAAAACAAACAAACAAAAAACCTATATTGAAGGTTTGAATTTAAAAGAAAATACATAAAATCCTTTGCTTGACCAGTGAGTCAGGGAGCAGCTCCAGTTCCCAGAGCCTGTGCATGGACCCTGCCCCGGGCACAAGGGAAGGTTTCTCTCCCCTCATCCATTGCAGAGTCCTCCTGCTCTGTTTGCTGTCAGCCCCTGTGGAGCTCAGAGGCACCTGGAGCAGGTGGGGCTGGCAAGTGCAGCTCAGCAGTGCCTTTCATCCCACTGAACAGCGGCTCCTTCCTCTCCCTTTCCTGCTGTGCAAATGGGAGATCACAGCAGTTACTGGAAAAGCATCTGGGCACAGGGCTGGGGCAGCCAGGGGAAGTTTCACCCAGACACCAGCCAGAGCTGGGGCATGGCTGCTTCAGTGGTGACTGCTGAACATCCCATTTCTCCTTGAGGTGATGCTCAGAACCACATCCCTGCTCTCCCAGTAATGCACAGCCCTCTCCCAGTGTCCCCACACAGAGCCTGGGGAGGTCCCATGTCCTTGTTCAGCCCAGGAGGGATTCAGGAGCTCAGTGCAGCTGTGGCAGCATCTCTGAGCATCCTCCCAGAGCCTGGAGCCCCAGCACAGACAGAGCCTGGAGCCCCAACACAGAGCTCTGGAGCCCCAGCACAGAGCCTGGAGCCCCAACACAGAGCCTGGAGCCCCAACACAGAGCCTGGAGCCCCAGCACAGAGCCCTGGAGCCCCAGCACAGAGCCTGGAGCCCCCAGCACAGCCCCTCTGGGCACAGCCCAGCTGGTGCAGCTGTCACAGTGTCCCCTCTCACTGCTGGCCGGGGCTGCCGTGCGAGTCCCTTCCCTGCCTGGTTCAGAGCTCTGTCAGGACAGGATTGCTCATTTCCTCACAGGGCTGGGGAGGTCAACTTCACTCTCAAATGTTCCTGATGGTTTTTTCCCATAATTTCAAAGGAAATTCGTAACTCCCTGAGATTCTGTTGTTGTCAGCCTCAGAGTATGGTGTAACTTTGTTATCTGCGTGCTTATCCATTCCCACAAGGAAGGGCAAGGGCTGCATTTTCCAGCTGGGAAACAAGGGCAGTGACATTAATCCAAGGAAAAAGAGCAGAGATGAGCCTGACCCTTGGGTTTCCAGGCTTATGGAGTAATCCTGAATCACCCTTCCTCTCCCACCACCACACCTGCCCCTTTGGTAGCACTCCCTTGGCAGCCCAGGAGAAAATGCAGCAGCCTGGGAGCTCAGACTCACGTGTGCCAGGAGCTGCTCATACTCTGATTAATGAAGATAAGTCACCCATTGTGCTGATGCTCAGAGGGTGGAATGACACCAGAAGGAAAACAGTGTCCCTAAAGCTGCTGTGGCAGGAGGGGAGACTCCTTCTTCATTCTTCTATTAGGAAACAGTTGTCAGCACATTTCTATTTCCAATATCCAGCCCTGCACAAGAGCAGAGGATCCACAGGGTCTTCAGGCTTCACGACACAAACTTCATTACTGTGGAACATTTCCTGCCTCTTAAATGGATTTTAGTT